ATCGATGCATCGATACAAAACGATTATTATTTACACCCCTAGATATAACCTAACGGAATATCTTCAGAACGGCTCCAAATGACACAATACTCATTTGGGTGAGTAGAACATGATGGAATAACGTAGAATCAAGGGGCAAATGTAAAAATAAAACAAAAAACGGTGTTCCCCTTTAACATTGGAATAAAACGAGGCATTTATGCATGCATGTTATACATTGACTTCTTAAATTGAACAATATAAAAAATAAAGAAAATAAATTATTTTAAAATCTATATAGACAATTTCCTGATTTTCATATTTTATAAAACACCTGAACTGACAGTTTTTTTATTTTTCTTTCTTTTTAATGGCTTTATGCTGCCCTGCAAGGCTTTAAACCTGAGTTTAAATGGAGACTAAGCCATTCTAAAGCTCATATCAAGGAGCTCATTTTGCGCCTGGATTGTTATTTATTTTTTATTATGGTCATGGTTTTAGAATCCTGCTTCACAGCAGCAGGTTGTACCAAACATCCTCTAAATGTTCAGGGTCATCTTTGAGCACCATTTCACTTTTCTTTCACCAGTTCACNTTCCCTCTGCAGTGTGTCTCGGTATATTCCGCATCCTTTCTTCGCTTTTAACATCGCTGTTTACTCGTCTTTCTGCTCTGTCTCTATGCTGTTTTAGGTCTTTGTTTACCGTAGCAACTAGCTACCAACTAGCTACCAATATGGCGGCGTACCCAGAATGCAACGCGCTGTGCCCGAGCCTTATTGATTTTACGTTATTACATCATGTTCTACTCACCCGTATTAGTTTTGTGTCATTTAGAGCTGTTCTGAAGATATTCTGTTAGGTTATATCCAGGTAACGTTTTCCTATGGGCAACGAGTTGAAGGCAGAAACTAAACTGCTCATAATTTATTCTTTATGGTACGCCAGCATTCAGAACATGTAGGTGAATCACTGTCCCCCCGACATCCACGGTTATATTTTTTATATTTCTATATTTTTAAAACAAAGCAGTGTGTCTGACGTCATCCGCGCGCGCCGGCTACCGTTCATTCATCCTGTCCGCTGAACTGCTGCTAGTTTTTCTCACATGCCTGGAAGATGTCTAGTGTTGCTACCACAGATGATCTCGCTCTCTAAATGGAATTGAACGATTCAGGTTAGCTCGCTGAATGAATAGAAGGGGTAGAGCGTAGCCGCCTGTTTTTAAAAGACATAAATATAAAAAATATAACCGCGGATGTCTGGGGGACAGTGATTGGCCTAAAGGAAGACGTTACTTGGACATAACCTAACGGAATATCTTCAGAACGGCTCCAAATGACACAAAACTCATTTGGGTGAGTAGAACATGATGGAATAACGTAGAATCAAGGGGCAAATAAAATAAAAAAAACGGTGTTCCCCTTTAACATTGGAATAAAACGAGGCGTTTATGCATGCATGTTATACATTGACTTTTTAAATTAAACAATATAAAAAATAAAGAAGAATACAAATTTTCAATTTTAAAATCTATTATTTTAAAATCTATATAGACAATTTCCTGATTCACATATTTTATAAAACACCTGAACTGACAGTTTTTTTATTTTTCTTTCTTTTTTATGGCTTTATGCTGCCCTGCAAGGCTTTAAACCTGGGTTTGAATGGAGACTAAGCCATTCTAAAGCACATATCAAGGAGCTCATTTTGCGCCTGGATTGTTATTTATTTTTTATTATGGTCATGGTTTTAGAATCCTGCTTCACAGCAGCAGGTTGAACCAAACATCCTCTAAATGTTCAGGGTCATCTTTGAGCACCATTTCACTTTCCTTTCACCAGTTCACCATAGTTCTTCCAGCAGTCCACACTTTCTCTACTCTCTTTTTCTCATCATCTTCTCCTTCTTTCTCATCACCCGGCTTGCCACAGGTTTGCCTGCTGTGTCTAAAAGTAGCAGCAGCAGCAACCCAGACTGACAGCTCATTGGCTAAATTGTATCACGTGCAGCCTGGAGCCGGACGCTCTGGAGGGTTTTACCGTATTAACAGGAAAAGAGGCGCAAGTGAAGTTAGACACTGTATTCAGAAAACATGTAGTAATTTATAAAGGGTTTAAATCAGGTTGGGTCCAGATTAGCTAGCAGGTGGGTCCGGATCTGGACCTAGTCCGCTAATCTGTGACCTGTCCTATAAGGTCTAATGTGATATTGTGATTTTATGAGAAAAGTAATATCAGGTTTCCATTAGGTATAAGCCAAAAACATCAAAATAAAAATAAAAAAAACACATTAAATGTACAACTCTGTCAAAAATAAATCAGTAAATTCTAATTTATAAGTTGTATTACATCTCTGTAGATAATGTATTAATAAGAGACGATTATAATGCTTTGATTGACCTCTGATTTCCTCTGCACTTAGACCGACCTGGCCTAGTAAATGTGGCAGCTATAGAGGTGATGCAGGAGAGCATTGTGCACGTCCTCCACCGCCACCTTGTGGCCAATCACCCTGATGACACTTTCCTGTTCCCTAAGCTGCTGCAGAAACTTGCTGATCTCCGGCAGCTGGTGACAGAACATGCACAGCTGGTGCAGGAGATCAAAAAGACAGAGGACACATCCCTGCACCCACTTCTACAGGAGATCTACAGAGACATGTACTGAGGACTGCGATAACCCACCAATGGATACAAACACAACATTCAGAGAAGACATGGAGATCTCCATCAATCAGGGTTGAACCCTTTATGCATTGCTGTCTTTGATATGGCAGCGTTTTCTTCCACTTGTGGTAAGCTAAGAGGACTTGTCACCAGAGGACGGTTCCTTTGGTTTGTCAGGGTTCTCATCACTCCTTTATAAAAACAGAAAAAAGCACCAGATGTGATATCAGTCGGATTAAGCCACTTTACAGACTGTAGCTTCTCTGACCATCTCAGCTATTAAACCTCAGTGAGCCCGAAAAAGAAGGAAAGAGAGAGATCTTGATGATTGCCACTCCAGTTTTGTCAGAGACTACAACTGTGCTAGATCTCAAAAAGTCATATGATGTTAGCATCAATTAAAGGACCTCAACCTGGCAGTGACAGTAAAAGCTATGCAGTTTGAAAATGAGAGATTGACTCTACTAAATTTGCTGCAATTTAAAAGTGTCTAGAATGTTAATTTTCATACGCCGTACAGCTAAAAAAAATCACAAGCTAAGATATGATTAGCGATTTAGTACTTTTTCTAAAGGTTAGAATAATCAGAGACTAATATTCAGTTGGATGTTAGAAAGTTTTGCATATCAGAAGCATTAATTCATTAATTAATGACACCAAATATCTGAGCCTTTTTTTTGCTTTTCTATCCAAATACATGCTAAGATGGCCGACACTCCGTCCGTTGTTTTGTCCTTTTGTTCAATGGCTTTTATCAACCTTAACAGAAGCATGCAGAAATACAGAACTAACCACAAACAGGAACTAACCTGATATTTGCTCAGTTTTTCTAAAAGATTAAGTGTTCACAAAGAAAACAGTAACACACACCCACCTACACACAAACACACAAAAGGGTGACATTATTTTCTTATCTAGAATGTTCTATAACAGAGTGGCCTGACCCCGTCTAATATGTCCAGGCTGTTGAAGTTTTATTTTAAACTTTTCTCTTCCATCTTTTGTTTTTTTTTTTTTTGTTTAACTTCACCCACCCCTCACTGGCACTGATAATACTTGAGGTTTAGGTAACATCTCTCAGCAATAACTTCAGCAACAAATAGGGTTTTCAGCTTGTCCTTGTTAAGGAAGAGCAACTAGAACCAGCAGGATGATGTTTTAAAAAAGAGTTTTTTTCTTAACATTTCTGAGCATTAATTCCAGTCATCAGCTAATCTCTTGCATGTTTACTTTTCCTCATATAAAACAGCATCTTCTGCTTTTTGGTGTCCTCCCATTTTTTGTCTAAGACGAACCTGCTAGTTTAGATGTACCTTATCCGGGGTCGGGTCGTGGGGTAGCAGCTTCAGTAGGGAGGCCCAGACGTCCCTCTCCCTAACCATTTGGTCCAGCTCCTTTGAAGGAATCCCAAGCCGCTCCCAGGCCAGCCGAGAAACATAGTCCCTGCAGCGTGTCCTGGGTCTCCCCCTGGGCCTCCTATTGGTGGGACACCTCACCAGGGAGACGTCCAGGAGGCATCCTAACCAGATGCCCGAGCAACCTCAACTGGCTCCTCTCGACGTGGAGGACTCTGAGTCCTCCCATGACTGAGCTCCTCACCCTATCTCTAAGGGAGAGCCCAGACACACTACGGAGAAAACTCATTTCAGCCGCTTGTATTCAAGACCTCGTTCTTTCAGTCATGACCCAAAGCTCATGACCAGAGATTAGGGTAGGAACGTAGACCGACCGGTAAATCGAGAGCTTTGGTTTTTGGCTCAGCTCCCGCTTCACAGCAGACGCCGCATCAATCTGCCTATCGATCTCGAGATCCATCTTCCCCTTATTCGTGAACAAGACCCCAAGATACCTAAAGTCCTCCAGTTGGGCAGTACATTCTCCCCAACCTGGAGAAGGCACTCTACCCTTTTCTGGCTCAATATCACAGTCTCGGGTATGGAGGCATTGATCCTCATCCTGGCCGCTTCACACTCTGCTGCGTACCAATCCAGTGAGATCCAATCCACAATCCTAAGGCCACCAAATAAATCCCCTCAACACCTAGGCAGCACCTAGGAATTCTGTCCATAAAAGTTTTGACTCTACATTGGGCAACCTTGGCCCAATGTAGAGTCATAATGTTGAGTCCAACCCTCACCGGAAAATGACTGCAACTTACTGCCGGCAATGCGGTCCAGGCTCTTACACCGGTCATACTGAGACCTAACAGCCCTAGGCCCTATGGACCCGGTACGCCATACTCCCGGAGTACCCCGCACAAGACCCCCCAAGGGACACGGTCGAATGCCTTCTTTAGATCCACATATCTGTTTATGATAAATACAAAACAGGGCATGTCACGTTACCCCAAACCCCACAAGGAGGTTCCTGGACTAATCTAATTTTTTTTTTTATATGCATCTTTCCTCAAAGCAAATTTAGACAAACTACCTAAACCGAAAAATCTTAGCAATCGGAGGAAGTTCTAACCCTATCACTTAACGTCCGAAAGTTATATTCGTACAAAGATGGCCTAGTATAAATCATTTGGTATTTTTTTACTGCTCTTTTCAAACTTACTGCAGCTCCATCAGTATATCAATCAGTTTGTACATGATACTTCATCAGTATCAAAATAGTTTTGATCTTTGAAAGAAACATACATTTAATTCATATTTAGAAAACAGTATCCAGCAGCGCTTATGACATTTGTGTAAATTACCATAAAATTAGCATTACCATTTACCAGCCACTAAAAGCTATCTCAAGGTGTACACAAGAAAAGACATATTGGTGTTTGCATATGCCTGATTTTGCTACAAACTATTGTAAACTGTTTTGTCAAATTTTGTTTTTCACTTGAACTTTATCATATTTCTGATATACTAAACAATGATTTGAAAGTGTAAATAGAATTAAGGTGTAACAGGGTGACTGGTGATCTGAATATGCACAATCTGAACCCTATTAGGGACGTTCCTTTGGTTAAAGCCACGCGGCTTCTAGCTACACATCAACAGGTTTGGGCCGTGCTGAGCGGTCCAAAGTAACAACTTCACTCCTTCATCTCTGGGTACAGTTTAATGATGTCTTGTAAATATTTAGCTACTATATAGTACTGGCCATAGTGTCTTTTGATACCGTTCTCTCAGATTGCACATCAGAATACAAACACAGATCATATATATAAATATTTCAATATCAAATGTCTTTAGCTGCCTCAACTGCAAAATTTTATTGTTTTGAAATATTTTTTGCCACATTACAAATCTGTTTGTTGTCAGAGAATCTAAATGCACTCATCTGCCATGAAAGTACAGCTGATGCACTAATGTATATTTAGAGCAGATTGCTTTTTTATCCTGTTTATGTCTGACTTTTTTTCTCCAGACTTGCTGCTATATGTACTAACATGTGCTCTGACCATGTGCCTCTTACTTACTTACAGTTGAAACCAGATATTTATATAAAATGTATTAAGGCCAAATCTGTTTTTCTCATTCTTTTGACATTTCAACAGACCGTTCTGTTTTAGTTCAGATAGGATAATCGTAAACTATTTCTGTATACTATTCTCCAGAATATTTAGGGAAATGTATATTTTTTTTTCTTTTATTTAACAGTTTACATACATTTCCTTTAGTTTTTGGTAGAGTAGACCTTCAAATTGTATGTTATGCTTCCAATGTTTTCTGATAAACTTTCACAAAGTTTTGACTGTAGTTTTCTGGAATTCTGAAGATCTTCTTGCTTGGCCCGTACATCGTCAACCTGTGATCGTTGCCCTGTGGAAACCACTCCAAAAAATTTACTTTCTCCTCCTTAGTTAACGTTTAAAAGAATGAATCGGGTTTTCTGTGAGGGTTACTGTCCATGTGGAAGACGCACTTGTACCCAAGCTTTAAATTTCTGGCTGATATTTTACATTTTACTTCATTGTCATCATGCCATATGTTCTTTGATCTGCACCAGTCCCTCCTGCAGCAATGCTACCAACCCTGTGTTCAAGTTAATATATTCTTTCTGCACATTATCATCTGTCTTGCAATGTTATGGCTTCTTGATCTCCTTGTGGAACTTCAGCCTATGTGAGTGGAATTGTTGCCTACATTTTACACCAAAACAATGTAATCTCTGGAAACCTTCCTCCTTCCTTTGCAGTGTGATGGTTGCACATTCCTATGCTGTTTATAGCTGCATATAATTACTTACAGATTACAGATAAATGTGGTTCTTAAGATCATCTGCAGATTGTATACAAGGATGAACGAGAAGTATTGGCATCAACAGTCCTTTTCAACATTTTTGTTTTGTTTTTTCAATTTGATGATGTCACCGTAGGAGGCAGGTATCCACAGGTAGCTAACTTAAATTTAACCTCTTGATAGGAGCTTTTTAAAAATATTGTTAAGACAAAAAAAATTCACTTGTATTCTGGCATTTAGCAGTTGAAAAAATATTTTTGTAATCCTAACTTGATCAGAATTTTCTGTTGCCTGATTTAATGTCAGTCATGAAAAAGATTGCCTTTTTATACACATTATATAAATAACTTCCTTTAACTTTACTTCTTGTAGTGGATTACAAATAATTCTCAGAATGCAGCTCAGTTTTTCACCTAGCAGATCCTCAGATATGTTTGCCGATTAACCAACAACTGTATGTGCCTTAGTGTGTGTAGATTCACACAATGGGAAGAGTTTTAACCACTGTCCTGTCCATGCGTGATACAACAGGTTCAATGGAGAATCAGATTTTTTTAAACAGAATCAATGATCTGTCAATGAAAATGAAGAATTAGCTTAAAAAGGTTTTAAAAGGCTAAACTGAAAATAGATGAAGTGGTTTGCACTTAATGGTGTTTTGATTTAATGTAGAATTGACAAGGGACTTTTTAACTTGCATCAGGGAATCTTAGTCTTCCTTTGTTAAACTAGCTCAGGATACATGTTTTTCTTATTTAATCTAATGATGCGTTTATGGTGCTCCATCTTAGAGCACAAAAACAAACAACAGCACAAAAAAAATGGTAATATTCGCTTTTCTTTTCACATACCGACAATTTACTGTTTTCCAAGGGAAAAACTCATAATTAGTTTTATTATTCTTTCGTTGATTTTTTGACCCTCAAGTTTATTCTGCAGCCCTAGTCTACGTCAGTGAGAGAAAGCTGTGTTCTCTGTGTGTTGTGTGGCTTGGATAATGAACTTGTAAATGTTTGAATGTACTGTACATTTTGTCATTTAAGCAAGAAGACAAATTGACATTGAATGGATTTTAAATAAAATGGTTTTGAGATCTTAACTTTTTTTTATTTTATTTTTAAACAAATATCAACTTTCACAGTTATGGTAATCTTATAGTTCATCAGAGATTGGAAAATGGATGCTTAACCTGTTAGTTTTCGAGTACTGACAATAATTTGGTGGATATTATAGTTTTTTCCTTATGATCAATAAGAAAAGTAATCTAATGTTGAATCAGAAGGCCGTCAGAGGCCCACATGCTATTGTGAAGACATTTGATTAAAACATTTAATAATGTAAAAGGTTAAAATTTCCCAGAAAAACATGCTTTCGCCTGTTCCTTCAGGAGAGCATATGGTTTTGTTTATTCGAAATTAGCTCAAAATGTTATATTTAGGTTTGTTTTTTTTTTTTTTCTTTGCGTTAGCAATAATTAGGCTATAAATTGCCAAAGGATTATCAAAAGACACTCCGTTCTGAAGGAATCAATTCAATTCAGTTTATTTATATGGCGCCAAATTCACAACACATGTCATCTCAAGGCACTTTACAGTTCAACCAGATCATACAGTCAAATTGATACAAAGTTTTCTATCTAAGGAAAACTAGTTGATTGCATCGACTCATTGACTCAAATGCAATCCCTCACACTAATGCTTGTAGCGACAGTGGAGAGGAAAAACTCCCTTTTAACAGGAAGAAACCTCCAGCAGAACCAGGCTCAGTGTGAGCGGCCATCTGCTGAGGCCGACTGGGGTTCAAGGAGACAGAAGCAGATACAAAAAGCAGCTGCAAAAGGCGGCCCCGCCCAGGAAACACACAGCCAGGCAGACGAACTCCGAGCCAGCTCCCATGTCAGAGGACGAAGAGAGCACATCCAGCCAGTCACAGTCAGAGAAACAGGACTACACTGGAAAACAGGCCGATCTCCAGCATCTATAAAATGTTGATGGCAGCAGCACAGCTGATGTTTCTCTCCAGGATGGAGTCACAGCCAAACAGGAACAGACCAGATACTATGAAAAAAAGCAGAGAGAGCAGAACGTTAGCGATTGAACTAACAGATTCTGCAGAATAGGAGAATAGAGATAGAATGAAGCAGAATCAAGGGAAAAATCTTTCCAAGTATGTTACTTATTGGCAAGATTCTCATTTGAATGAAATGACCATAAAAAACTGGTGATAACCACCATCTTTCTGAGGAGGGAACGATTCTGATTGGTCTATTTCGAAACATTCATTCTACATTCC